CTCTGTAAACAGCAGGTCAAGGTCAAACATATAAATCATAAAAAATAATACATGTAGACCAAACATATACCGTAAATCTGGAAATTTTTACGTCAATTTTATTTTGCGAATTCGGGTCAAAATGGTGTTGATTAATTTTTTTACGTTTCAAAATTTTGCGAATTACTACTGCTTTTTTTACATTTTCTTATTGGTAATTTATTTTTAAGAAAAATATTTTTGTGAATGCAATGAACTCGCAAATTTGCTAAAAATTTATCTACAGCAAAAATTTCCAGATTTACGGTAATTATATCCCATATATCTCTGTAAAATACAAAAAGTTATGCATTCACAAGCAATATTTTTTTAACGCTGTATAGATTTGTTTGTTCTTCTCACCTTCTGCCTCCCTTGCAGCCTGTTCTGCCTCCATTTTCTCTTTGATCTTCATTTTGACGGTGGATATTGCATTTTCTGTTGCCTCCTTCTTCTGCTCGTCAATGTACTTCTTTTTCTCCTCTTCCATCTTTGGTTTCATCAGAACATCCATATCCAAAACCTAACGCAAAAATGCATTCTTTATAGCAACTAAAGAGTATCTGAGAAAGTGAAATATGGGGGAATGTTTTGACATCTTTACCAATGAAGATTGTAACTTAGCATCAATTCTTGAAACAAACACATTTTAATTTTGAAGACACTCCTGCATTGCTATATTTGATTTTAACATGGTTCTCAATTAAACAGACATTAAATACTAACCTTTGCTCCATACTTCTGTGCCAAAAGGTGTGCTAGTGTGGTTTTTCCTATGAGAGGGGGACCTAAAATGGCTATTTTACAAGGGGGCCTGGGTTGTGGGGCCATCAAGTAAGGACGAGGATTCTTCAAAAATTTCTCCATTGCTTCCGCACTTGACAAAACATAAATCTTGTCCAAAAAGCTGAAAACACAAAAATAACATATAAGACAAACAGAAAAATTTCCAGAAACTTTTTCATCTACGAACTTTATTATTTTTGTCTTTACCTAACAGCAAATTCTGGTTTGCCAGGAGTTATATCCCCTTCATAGAGAGCCACAGGACAGTTTCTTAACCAGCGGCTCCTCCTCCACCTAAACCTGGGCGCCACCATCTGTTTAGGTCCGAGAGTCCTCATCAATTCGTCTGTCTCAATTTCCTCTGGGATTTCATCATCCTCTGGGTCCTGAAGCCTGATGGGTACAGCTGCCGGTCTCAGCACAAAACAGTTCAATCGCGACAGCAGTTGCTGCAAAAATTATAACAGGAAGTTAATATTCTATTATCTATACTGTCCATAGATACCTATATTTATGAAAGTTCAATGTTCATTTGTCTCATGTACACTATACAAATGAGTACTTCTCAGAATGAAGTTAAAGAAAGAAAATTCAAGTACCCTAAACAGTGTTGGAATGGTTTGATTTCCATCCATTTCAATAAGATATTGCTGATCATGGTCTGCCATGTAATCCTGAAAAGATATTCATGATGAATCAATGTTAAATATATGTGCAATAAGCACATTTTTCAGACATACAATATACTGGTAAAAATATCGCTAAATGAGGAAGTTTTACCTCTAAGAGCCTCAGCATTTTATTTTTGTATTTGGAGATGTTCCCTTTAGCTTGCTCCTCTAAATCTTCAGGGCGCCTCAGTAGCCTCTCCAGCACCTCGGGAGGAAGTTCTGAGGCAAAGTCACCGTCCTGTCATAAAAACACAGATATATCAGTGTAAACATAGATTGTGACCCAGCCATTGTTATTAAATTCACAAAACAGCTGACATAAATTGACCCCCTGACCTCTGGTGTGGCCTCCTCAGCGTCCTCTTCTTCCTCCTCCTCTCCTTCTTCTTCTCCCTCCTCCTTAATCTATCAACATTAAACATAATGATATCACAGCTGTTTGTACAACAAATTGTTAATACCATTAGTTATCTTTTCATTCATTTTTTTCATTTTTATCTTTTTTTCAAATTTTTTTTATTTTTTATCCACATATATGGACATCTATTTCCTATTAGTTTAAAGCAGTTAAACACACCATCACTGTTGGTTTTTTTTTTTCAGCAGGCATGCAGTAAGTTTGTTAGATGAAATATCCAATGTAAATGCTTGAAACTATTGCTTATCTTATAGAAAAATTCATATGTTATATTGGAGTTAAAGATAAAAGTTAAAGATTGATTCTGGTATTTGCCTTCTATGTCATGCATTAACTATAAAATTAAATCAGATCAATTCTGTCAATTCTGCCAATCACACAAGTTGTTGTGGGGGGGGGGATTCTTTATACATTTAATATTAGAAATACAAAATTTTAGCTTAAGAAATAACCGTGTGTGATGATGTACACACAGAGTTAAATAATTGGGCTTGTCTATACTTTATCTGGGTCTGCATGCAAATACTTACTTCTTTGGCAGGTTCTAACTGATTTTACCAATTAATTTAATTTTAAAAAATGCAATAAATAAAGAAAAGTGATGTTCAGAAATAATGATACATTTGTGTTCAATGAATCCTAGCCCTTGAATGATTACTCATAGAGAATATGTGGAGTATGATATACTTGAAGTATCTTAAATAAACTGCCTGTATTTCTGACCTCTTTGACTGGTTTCTCTGGGTTGTAGACTTCCTCAGTGAAGATTTCTCCTGTCATAGGATCAATTTTCTGACCGATTCTCCTCTTCTCCAAATCATGATCAGGGATCTATAATGTAAGAGGTGAAGATAACAAACAGTGGTTCATCTCAAAACATCCATAAACAAAACAAATATGTAACGAGGGCATAAAACACAGATCCCTAGAAATTCATGTTGTAATCCAAGTTAGGATTCTCAATTCAACTAATCAGAGAGTTTACCAGATTGTTTTTATGATAATTTAAAATAAATTTGAAACCTTGATATTAATGATAAAATCAGGCTTGAGTTTCCAGTTCTTCACAAGTTCAATTTGGTCTTTTATGGAGAGGTTTTCCTCTGATAGGCAGGGGAAATCATCAAGCACATAACCTGTGAATAAAGTGCAATTGTGAACATTGACAAAACATGCAAATGTCTAAAGCCTAAGACAAGTGTCTTGTCATTACTTTGTGCTTTGTGTCCAACTACTAATTCCAACTCAATTACTGATATCAAATAAAAAAAAGTAACTCTTTTTTTTTCATCTTCACTCTTCATCATCTTGACTGAGCAGTTCAACACACTGGTAGTCACATTTACAGTTCAGTGTACAAAACATCATAGCCACAGATACAGATATTGTTGATAATATAACAACAAAATATCTAACACATGTGAAAGTGTATGTGTTAGAATTATGTCTTACCATGATGTGTGACCTCAGGGGATTGGATTTTAGCCTCGATCATTTTAATTACCATCTCCTCAGGAATGGCCTCTCCTCTTACAAGAATTTCTTGGCATTTATTGCCCGTTTCAGTCATCATGTGTATATGCTGGTTGATCAAATCCGTAGCTGAAATAAAAATCATACATACGTTGTCCTCCAGTAACACAGGTAAAGGTGAAATAGTATGAAATTGTAGCTAGTGCTTTAATTTTTGTCGAAAATTTAAATGTGTGTCTTACGATTGATGAGTTCACATTTCCATTCTGAAGCAAGTCTTCTAGCCAGGCTTGTTTTTCCAGACCCTGGTTTCCCGATTATTATGAAGCATGTTGGTTTGGAATGCAGGAATCTAAGTTCTGTCTGTTAAGGAAAAAAGACAAATCAATTCAATGGAATCTTATTTTCAGATTTATGCAATTCTAAACAAGATACAATCTTTTGACATAAATGTACATCACATAACACATACCTCGTCTTCATTATAAGGATCAATCATTAACTCCTTGTCCTGTAACAGAGCATCAAGATCAGTCTCTGTTGTTTGTTTGGTCTGATCACTGACTCCTTCCATATTTATCACCTTGGGCTCTTCCTGACTTGTCCCTCCTTCATCTGTCAGACCAGATGGCGACTTAAAAAAGAAAATACCTCAAATTTCATTCTTACAATAAACTACAGATTATAAGTAGAACAAGTGATATAGTTTTAGCACAAAGTTTTGTTAGAAAAGTATATTGATATCATAAAAGAAGCCTGCAAAATCAGCAAAGCCAAATTAATAATTTACTATAATAATGAAAGTTCCTATCTATACATTCTTTGACCACAATCTATATGCTCATAGTAACTCAGCTCTTTATTCACTCATTAAAAGCTAAATTCATAACTCAAGTCAAGTACTTAAAGTCGGTTAAAGAGCTATCACAGCTCAAGTTAAACTGTTATACGGTATATACATGCCGACTATAAATAAAATTTATTTGTCTTGAAGTACATGCATTGGACAGCTAATAAAACATAATTTTTCTGCAAAATAACAAAATTGCTCTAGTAAAAAAAAATTAGCAAATCCAGAATAAAAATTATTTTTACAATGCACTTTATATTCTTTCTTGACATGCACTTTGGGAGCATGGCAATATCCACACTGACTGGTATCAAATAAATAGGTCTATAACCATTGTCTTTTGAATATCTGTGCCTTATTATCGGCATTTTTTTGTGTCTGCTTACACTTATGATGTAAACTCATACTACTGAAATAAAGTGACTAAACAATTTTGTATGAATCAGTCTATAAACGGGAACAAATAGAGGATTTATCACATGTAAGTCCTTACCTCTGTTTTGTCCGCCATCGTTGTTGGTATCTAAGGAAGTTCGTGAAACTCCGTAACCGGAAACGTTAGATCGTAAAACCCGAAATGATTTTTGTTGTTTGCAAATAATTTTGTTTAAAAATATCTGTGGAAATTTACTGAATTGTAGCATTTATGAAAAACTTAATAATCAAAATAAATAATCGACAAGAAATAAGAACTCTTTCAAAAAATAAAAAAAATAGTGGATAACATGTCGGTTTTCTCTGTTATGTGCATCAGTTTACTTCCTGTGTTGACTCCATCTATTTTCCACAGTTTTCCACATTGCATTGTTTTTTTGTTCTGTGTAGGCAGACAAGAAGAAGGATATTCGACTGGAAGCATGGTTACATAATCAGAGGGAGCTCTGAATGTGATTCACGTATTTTAAGCAGGATATCTGGATGCTACACATAACATTAACAATCATGATGTTAACCTCACTAAGCAAAGCAATATTGCTCAGCTTTGTTATAAATTGTTTTGATATGTTTGACTTTGGGCATGCAAGACCAATACAAAAAGTCCCAAACTTGATTCTTATTTCTGTGGATGGGATGCGCTTTGATTATCTACAAAGCATCCGTAATGATCAGCTCCCAAGTTTTGCATATTTTAAAAATCATGGCTCATCTGTGAAGTACGTCAGAAATGTTTTTCCATCAGTTACATATCCAAACCACATGTCAATTATCAGCGGTTTATATCCTGAAAGCCATGGAGTAGTTCATAATGTTTTTGCAGATGAATTTCTAAATGATACATTCCATTACGATTATTTTTTCCAAAACTTTGATTCCCGCTGGTTTGACAATGGTGAAGACGTGATCTATGTGACAAACAAGAAAGGTAGTGGTACCAGAGATACTGGATCAGCTTTGTGGCCCACTGGATTGACAATAATCAAAGGGATCCAACCAAGAACCATAGGAAGAGCATTCTCTGGAAATATGTCCTTGTCTTACAGACAAAGAGTAGACTACATAATAGATTGGTTTACAGACGAAAAAAGACCTGTCAATCTTGGTTTGTTATATTTTGATGAGCCAGATGAAGCTGGACATAAATTTGGAGCAGAGAGTCCAGAGATCACAAAAGCAATCAAGAGAGTTGATGCAGCACTTGGGTATTTGATAAAGAGACTAAATGAGACCGACTTATTAAGGAGTACTAATATTATTCTGACTGCGGATCATGGGATGATTTCAACTGAAAAAGGATTAGTTAATATTGATACCTGCATTGACAGCAAATGGTACACCTCAAACCGTGACCATGATACTGTGCTTTTTATATATCCAAAAGAAGGCAAGTGTTTTAGGATTAAAATATTTACATTCCCAGGCTAAATATTCTAGGGAAGAAAAAAGAAAATTAATTGTGTACTTCATTGCATGTAAAAAATAATGATAATAATATTGTGAAATTATGAGTGCAAAATGAAATCCATATAAACATCCTCTTTTCTAGAAAAAAAGGTACAGATTTTGAAATTCTGAAATTGAAGTTGAGTCTAGAATGATTGAGTTTCAATTTTTATTTAAACAGTTTTAAACTTATAAGGGCATGTCTTTCAATTTTATTCTTCTAAGGAAGTATTGAGCTAGATTTTGTTGATATGACATTATCATTGTAAAGAATCTTTGAATTCAAATATATCTGACCTTGTATAATAAAGGGGTCCAAAGTTATAAGCTCTCAATGGAAATAACTGATTCTAATGAACTTCATGTCAAACTGGGCTTAGACTCATCCTACATGTTAAAGCCTCAGTTAAAAAAAGTCAGTTTGTATCCCTACACTCCCTATATACTTCAAGCGACAAAAAGTTGAAAGTATGTGTCCTGAAACCTCTAGCATGCTGAAGTAGACTGTAGCCTTTATTTGTTTATAAAACTTAACATAAAACTTGAACTTGATAGTATTAGAGGAAGTGGATTTAGGGGGGATGGGCATGCTCTTTCTTTGTTAATGACTTGTGTTTTAGAAGTGTATTTTGTTTATCTACAGGATTTCATGCTAAGATTTTGGATGGTCTACAGAGATGCAGTAATATCTATGTATACACAAAAGAAAGTGAACAGTTGAAAAATATGCATCTTCAAAATAATTACAGAGTACCCCCTATAGTACTGGAAGCCAAAGCTGGATATTATATTGTTACAAATCGAACCCCTAAAGATTACAATCCAAGTAAGTCTGAAAACAGTATTTACTGTAAATCACTTTTTATTCGCGAGAACTTTATTTTCGCGTGATTACGCGAGCCAGTTTTTGATTCTTGCGTATAATAGAATTCCTTAAGATTACATAGAGCAATGACCTAAATTCGTAAAAATTTTGTCTCGCTTATAAAGAGTCGATGACTATCTCGCGAAAATAAGGTGTCGCGAAAATTTAGTGATCTACAGAAATTTTGTCTCGCTTATAAAGAGTCAATGACTATCTCGCGAAAATAAGGTGTCGCGAAAATTTAGTGATCTACAGAAACTAAACAAAATTTAAATTGTCATGAGACATGCAGAATCCATTGGAAGAAAATGTGTAATTTAATAACCATTTGTTTAAATGATGAAGCATCTTGATTAATTAAATGATATATGTGAAAAGTGTCCTATGTTTAAGAATTTATGCTCTTTTAGAGGGTGGTCATGGATATGATCCTGAGAAAGTTCAAGAAATGCGGCCATTCTTTATGGCATCAGGTCCTTCATTCAAATCCAACTTTACACATATCAATCCTATTCATATTGTTGATATTTATCCCTTGATGTGTGAAATACTGAAGCTGAAACCAGCGCCCAACAACGGGTCACTGCATGAAATCAGGGAACTTCTGATCTCGCCTCCAGCGGAGCAACCCGCCAATTTTAAAGAGAAACTGTTTGAAACAACAGGAATAACATGTAAGACCCGTTCAGTCTGAAGCTTACAATTAAAAAGTTTTAATATCTGATATAAAATAAATGAATATTTACTAGGTATAGCTGTGGAATGTACAAAGAATTTTTTTGATTTTTCATTTTAATGAAGTAGCTCTGAACTCAATGGAGAGTCTTTATATACTTGTGCCCTCCATGTATTTCCAATAATGACCTGATTAATTCATTTTGTATGTTTAAATAATGATTAAAAAAATAACCTGAATGACGTAGGAGATTTTCTAAGCTTACTGCACTATAAATATTCAGTTTTCTTATTATTGTCTTTTAGTTTTTGTGATCATTGTTCTTTCCACTTTGGTGGGGGGCATCTACTGCATCGGAGCCATTCGCCAGAGTCGCATCACCGCTAGAAAGAGGAGAGTTTTTGGAAGAGTGACCTCCTCTCTTCGGGATTTTCCAGCGGCCAAAGCATTGCTACAATCTGATGAAGATGAAGGCAGCGATGATTTATAAAACAACATAAAGAGGAAGGTAGCGATGATTTATAAAACAACATAAAGAGGAAGGTAGTGATGATTTATAAGATGAAAGAAGGAGGAAGGTAGGCTAAGCAATGATTTATAAGATGAAATAAAGAGGAAGGTAGCAATGATTTATAAACCAAAATAAAGAAGAAGGTTGCAATGAGTTAGAGGACATCATAAAGAAGAAGACTGATGATTTATATGACACAATAAAGAGGAAGGCAGCAATAATTTATGAGACAAAATAAAATTGAAGTAATAATTTGATGATTGTGAGAATTGAACTTTTTTGCTCACCAAACATGTACATGTATATTGAATGTCAATGTGTAATGTAATTTGATATTATATGTCTTTATTTTGCTAGTATTATCCCTTAGAAATTAGACAATCGTGTTAGCATTATATATGGATGTAGCTGTTGTGTGATTTTTGTTTGATAATCAGATATAAATTTCACTCCTCTCCATCTGATATCTAGTAATAATTTGCTAATATGCATTGTTTATGACAGTATTAAACACCTGAACTTTTATTAGGTAGATGGGCACAGATGCTGGATTTTTATCTTCACTATTATGAGTGAAAGCTGTGTAATGTGAATATTAATAGCTACTTCATTACATTTCATTATACCCCTGCTCAGAAGCAGAAGTGTGCTGTATGTTTTACCATTGTGTTATTGTGTGTGTGTCCGTCTGTCCATAACAAATTAACATCAAGGGATTCATTTTTGTATGGATTAGATTTCAACTTCCTGTTTATCTGTGTGACTGTTTGTACCAAATTCACAAGTGGGGGAGATTACTACTGAGCCTTGGTTCACAACCTTATTTTTTTTTCAACTTGATTGTTGTATCAGCTTTACTGCCTTCCAATAACTGAACCCCACCCCCTTAAAAGACAGAATTATTAATGCACAGCAACTGCAGCAAATATTAAAAAGGACCTAGTATGCATGCATCCTACATTTATTAATAGGCCCCTGATAAAATTAGATAATAGTTTAAAAGTTTTAAGTATATATATAGCCACAGGGATTTTATTCTGAAATTCCAGAATATATTCAAAAATGAAATGATTTGTATATATATTTTTTTTATTTGTGATGGTTGTCTTTTTTTCATATTTTATTTTAATTAAGGTGATTTTATTATTCTTTTACAATGTTATATATATTTATGTGCAATATGGTGGGAGAGTATGTGTGAAGAACATGAAGATATTTAATTCTGGCATTATAATGTAATATATGTTAAAATGATGACCAATTTTGTGAAAAACATTAAACATTCCAACTTGATTTTAATTTTTAATGTGTTTTTATGCATCCAGTGATACAAACTACCAGACTTGCTTAGGATGCTAGATCTGCCCTCTATTTTGCAGATGAGTGAACAAGTAAAATTTTTAAAAGCAAGCCCTTGCTGGTGTTACTATTTTAATAACTGATATTGCATTCTAATAACTGTGCTTGTTTAATGGTGCATGGTGAAGTTTCGAATGTTGATCCCCACATTTCTTCATCAATTGAATATTTGATACAGGTCCTTAGGAAGCAATTTCAGGGGGGGGGGGGGGGGGGGGGGGGCTAAGCTATATATTTTCATTGGGGGACACTAAAAACTACCAAAATTTCCTTGAGAAGTCACAAAAATAAGTAAAGAAAATCATAAGACATTTCAACTGAGGAGGCAGAGCATACAGTAGCAATGTTTTCGGTAGTATACTATATATACCAGCAAAATTTTTTTGTAATAAACAGCAGCAACATGTGGTCAGTCAAAGACTCGTGTCTGCCACCCTGCAAGTGGTAGTCTCAACCTCAGTCAAAGGCCATTGCTGAATTAATTCGCTGTTCATTTGCGATGTAGTTTTCATTAATTTCATTGAAAATTAGAAATATGTCCATAGGACAGGAATGCCCCTCAAAGGGTAATGCAACATGAAAATTTGTATAACTGTATGAAATTTTATCAGAATATCTTGAATAGTGATGCAGTTTAATTGCTTACATTAGTATTTATCAGCATATAAAGTTTGACACTAATTTCTTTAAAGTGAGGCCAAGGTCAAAGGAAATGCCAAGGTCAAAAATGTTGATGCACTTGAAAAGCATATGAAGTTGAAAAAATATTGTGAATGGTTTATTTAAAACCGATTTGATAAAATTGAGATCAAGGTCAAATGAAGGTCAAAGTAAAAAAAATGATGATGCATATTGATGCTTACATCAATATGTATTTGCATATGAAATTTGACACTAATTTAGGAAAAGTGAAGTCAAGGTCAAAGGAAACATCAAGGTAAAAAATGTTGATGCAGTTGAATGAATATCTCTCATCAATTTGTATCAACACATGAAGTTTGATAAAAAATATCTTGAATAATTTCTTAAAAACTGACTTAAACACAATTTGATTAAAAGTGAGGTAAAGGTCAAATTAAAGGTAAAGGTCAAAATGTTGATGCAGTTGAATAGCTCTCATTAGTTTGTATTAGCATATGAAGTTTGACACTGATTTAGGAAAAGTGAGGTCAAGGCTAAAGGAAAGGTCAAGGTAAAAGGAAAGGTCAAAATGTTGATGCAGTTGAATAGCTCTCACCAGTATTTATCTGCTAATGAAGTTTGATAAAAATATCTTAGATGGTTTCTTAAAAACTTATCTAAACACTAATTTAAGAAAAGTGAGGATAAGGTCAAAAGAAAGGTTGAGGTCAAAATGTTGATCTAATTAAAAGGTCTCTGCAGTATGTATCAGCATATGAAGTTTGATAATACTATCTTAGATGGTACATGTATCTTTAAAACTGAGCAAAGCAACTATTTAAGAAAACTGAGGCCAAGATTTCAAAGGAAAGGTCAAGGTCAAAAATGGTGATGCAGTATAATAGCTCTCATCAGTATGTATTCACATGTGATGTTTGAGAATACCATCTTGAACGATATGTTTAAAACTGAGTTAAACACTAATTTAAGAAAAGTGAAGTCAAGGTCAAAGGAAAGGTAAAAAATGTTGATGCAGTTGCATAGCTCTCATCAATATCTATCAACATGTGAAGTTTGATGAAAATATCTTAATTGGATAGTTACTTTGAAACTGAGCTTTGAACTGAGCCAAACGCAAAGTGTGACGGAAGGACGGACATGACAAACACTATATGCCCCGACCATATTCAAGGAGGGGCATAACAAACGTTACCATATATTTCAAAAATGGTGATGTTGCCTGTTCATATGAAATACAGTCAAATCTTATGATCTCAGGTTCAATTTGACAAAATAAAAATGTGATATACCCAAGGATTTGACTGATATTTATGAATCTCGATCTTCTTTTCAAACCCGTTACATGTATCAGAATTCTCTATGTCTTTTGACGTTTAAAATTTCTTGAAGAATACACCTGGTTTAGTGAGGGAGACATGAAGCTTAAGATTTCGCCCATAAAAAAAATGCCGAGGGCAACTATCATGCAGTAACTGTATGGTGTTACACTACATGGAGTCATGGATCCATGTGAAATCACGAATCACACCATTTCCATTGCAGTTCAGAAAATAATTAGTTTGTGTTTTATTTTTGGTTTCCTGAAAATATATTTTCGATGAAATGTGGAAATAATGATTTAACAATATTCAAGCTCAAAAGACAGCTGAAACAGTACAAAAATCGGGAACGGAACAAACACGGACCTCTAACACATCAGAGTGGGATCAGGTGCGTGGAGGTGATTTGATAACTTTCCTTATATATGATCAACTAGTAGCTAGACTGGTGAACTTTGAAGAAATAACACTGGTTTATTCAAATTACCTTGTGGAATCGGTGATATTTTTTAATGAATTGCTATAGTTTTCAGAATCCGAGGCAATTTTGGTTCACTAGATTTAAAAAAAAAAAAATGTTTGTAAATTCCATCAAGAATTTGAAAGAAAACGTCAAACTTCTTGAAGAGGAGCCTTTGTGCAAAAATAGTTTTTATTTTAAAAAATCATCCTTAATAACAACCGTAATAAAAGTGTATCTGCTTGTGCTTTATCACTCCATATTTATTCTGAACGCATCGCTCATGTCGCATGGCTTTCCTCCATCCTAGCTCATTTTGGCCTCTGGTTTTCCGACATCAATTCTAATTTTGGTATAGTAAGTGTAAGCGTGAACTTTATTGAGCTTGTAGGGAACATTTCTAAGTCCATCTATCTTCATCCGGCTCTTCCATGTATTCAATACTTCAACTCTAAAACGGATCAAACATCGTAAGATAACTAGTAAATTCAATTTTCTTTGTTTAATTCCCACATAGATGAGATAGTGGAAAAGTTAAAAAAAAATTTTCAGGAGAATTTTAAGCTAAATTTTTACTTCATTAGCTCATGCATGTATTGTGTTAAGAGTTTAAGAGCAATGCAAGGATTGTACCGACTATAAAATGACATTACCTTTTTGACCATCGCTCCCGTTTCTTGTGGCGAATCATTGTGTATCTACCCAGTGTTGATGGAGGGCGAATAATTCGAAATTTGGAATGAATAATTCTAAAAGCAAAGAGTATCAATACAATAATTTGGAAATTAGAGTGTTTGTTCAGAGCGAGGATTTATTGTCTATTTAAAGAATGATGACATTTCATATGAAAAATTATTTTTAAGTGAATTAAGGTGGAATATCCCTCTGATAAGATAGGATAAGGATTCAAAATGTTTCATTACTATGATCAGGCACGTATAGCATCTATGGGCGGCACTTTAACTTTGTACCACATTAAAAATGTTCATTGAGGATGCCCCCTTTTTTGTTGGCGTACATGTACAATGTATAGTCAAATACATGTAAGGGTATGAAGAAAAAAACTGAAAGAAGCTCGCCCCCCCTCCACCCCCCAAAAAAAAAATGCCACGTCACTTACGAATCTATAACTTTTTTTAATATTGAATATTACTTTTACAAATAAATCCTTTAAACCCCCCCCCCCCCCCCCCCCCAAAAAAAAAGGAAGAAAAAGATTTTCAATACCTGTGATACATATCATCGTCCTCTCCTCCCCACCCCCAGAACATGTTGGAATATCCGTTAACTCGACGAAAGGTTTCTGGTCGGAATCCCAGGACGCCACCTACCAACCACCTGTACATCAGCCTTTATAAAAATCAAGATTCTGTCATTGTCTGGTAACAAATCAATTGATATATATAATCCATCGTCTCAAGCCACGGCCCGGAGTCCTCATACGCTAGTATCCAGAATGGGGGAAGGGTCGTACATTTTGGCTGTGGTTTGCGATGATGCTATAAACCCTGAGCAGGATTTTTTTCAGTGAAGTAGTTTATATATGTACAATAAGAACTTTTCTGAAACATGCAAAAACAAAAAAAAAACAAAAACAAAAAAAACACTTGACAAGACTCTAATGTTCTGAATCCAGAGCGTTAGCAAAGTAACCCAACCAGGAATTCAACATTTCAATTGAAAATATTTATACTCTAAAAAACAATGAAACTTCTATTCATTTGCTTGATTCAGAGTTTAATTACAAGCATTTACAATTTATAGATTAATTACTTTTTTTTTAATTAATCAAGTATTTAACTTTCCCAACCATCGGATTTTAAAACAGCCCTTGATATTTCACTCATGTGATTTTCTGTTTGCCTGCTTAATAAGTTAATTAAATAAATATCAGTGAAATTATATTTATAAGGATAAGGATTATAGAGAGGGTTACAAAAGCTATATATGCCTGCTATGTGGCAACGCACTTTGAAAAAATTACGCACTTTGAAAAAAAATTTCAAAGTGCGTTAAAATTGGGACAAAATCAACGCACTTTGAAAAAATTTTTCAAAGTGCGTTAAATTTGGGACCAACTCAACGCACTTTGAAAAAAATTTTCAAAGTGCGTTAAGAGTCTACATCAAAATATTTTACCATGGAGACACTAAGATTTTATTTGTTATTTATCTTTCAAAAAACTAAGCCTAACCCTAACCTCAAAAATGAATTGATTTACTCCCGTCGAAAAGAGGAGAAGACGGGTATAAGATCCCTCAGTCCAAATCTTTATCTTTCCAATACATAGGTGTCGGTAACAAACGGGGGAGGGGAGCAATAAACCTAAAAAGTGTACGCTGCATTTTCAATGCTTATACGATGTAAATATCTTTCCAAAAATAAGTGGGGGCTTAGCACCCCCCATCCCCTCCCGTGGCCCTTCGCCCAGTCTCGATGTCTATGATATACTCAAAACATTAAAATAATTATGTATTTACCTAACTGGTATAACGTTTGAATTTACACAGATCTGGAAAGGACAAATACTTAGTTAAGATTCTGAGAAGTTTCAAAAAAATCTGTAGGTCCGTTATTTTTATAGCATGGTATGGATCTTTACCTTAAAACAGATGAAAACTAGAAATTTTTAAGTACAGTAAAACGTTTGAAAGAGAAAGAACTTTCATAGTTTTAAACAATCAAATTGGCCCCTTTTTATTATGATAAATGCCAAGTTGCTTGAAGCTGTCCTCTGTTAATGCCCCCTATACACTATCAGAGACTAGAATAAAAAAAAAAAAAGAAGAAACGAATTAATGAACGTAAACAATCGTCACTCTCTTTTTTTCAAGACCCTTTAATTTTCCCTTTTATTTGATCAAAACCTTAAATATTTAAAAAAAAAACAAAAAAAAAACGTCAATATCTCAGGTCCCACAGTGACTTTATCATAAAAAAGTTATCAAACCAGGATCTGTTATTTATCATACCGATTATTTGAGGGAATATTGCTCAATCTTTACATTTTTTTCAAAGTGCGTTAATATGGTCGATATTAACGCACTTTGAAAAAAGAATATTTTTTTCAAAGTGCGTTAGCTTGGTCTCAAATTTTAACGCACTTTGAAAATTTTTTTCAAAGTGCGTAATTTTTCAAAGTGCGTTGTAACACTGCTACCTAATCCATTTATGTATTTATTGTATAATAAAATACTACAGTAGTATGTTCAAATTCAATATACATAAGATAATTGTGTAATTTTACTTACTTGTAACCATCTTCATCAATAGATACAGACAGGTGGCGTGGTTGGTCCCCACAGTCATAAATATTTCTATCATTCTCTGGAATAAGGTCAACATCATGGAAGAACACACAGTTAAAGTCAAACAGCTTCAAGGCTTCTAGAAATCCAGCATTCATAAGTCTTCCTTTATTAAACGTACCATTTCCTACCTAAAGCGTTTGTAAAAACGTATGTAAAATAAGGTCAGATACACGTACTTTTCTTACCCACAGAGCAAAATAAGGTCAAATAAACGCACCTTTCTTACCCACAGATCAAAATAAGGTCAGATAAACATAGCTTTCTTACCCACAGATCAAAATAAGGTCAGATAAACGTACCTTTCTTACCCAGAGAGCAAAATAAGGTCAGATAAACGTACCTTTTTTACCCACAGAGCAAAATAAGGTCAAATAAACGTGTACCTTTACTACCTACAGAGAGCAAAATGTGGTAAGGTAAACGTACCTTTCTTACCCATAGAGCAAAACAAGGTCAGATAAACGTACCTTTCCTACCGACAGAGCAAAACAAGGTCAGATAAACGTACCTTTCCTACCCACAGATCAAAACAAGGTCAGATAAACGTACCATTTCTACTCACTGATCAAAATAAGGTCAGATAAATATACCTTTCCTACCTACTGAGAGCAAAATAAGGTCAGATAAACGTACCTTTCTTACCCACAGATCAAAATAAGGTAAGATAAACGTACCTTTCCTACACACAGAGCAAAATAAGGTCAGATAAACATAGCTTTCTTACCCACAGATCAAAATAAGGTCAGATAAACGTACCTTTCTTACCCACAGAGCAAAACAAGGTCAGATAAACGTACCATTGCTTACCGGTACCTTCAGTGTATGTACAAACGTATGTTAAAAAATATCAGGATGTACCATTTCCTTCTTTCAATCATCTGATCCCACCCCTGGAATTTCCAGCAGTCCATGTAATTAAATTACAACCAGCTCCCTTCCCCTGGAAAACGAGGGAATGGTGAAGGGAACTGATTTTGATCAGAATGCAGATTATATCATTAAATGAACGTCACTTGTACCTGTTCAATAACAAATATCCTGAATTCTGTTTCTTGAGCAATCAATATAGGTATGAGATTCTTAATAAGAATGCACAAATGTTCCTCTCTATCTCGGAACGGAATGATTATGGCAACATGGCGATTTGAAAAGTATTTGGTTGGTTTCCAATGACCTCCGAATATAACATTTTCCCCAGCAAAGGATGTCACAGCAGAAGTGCAGTTGTCATTATCATAATGTATTCTATTATTCTTGGTATGGATGATTGTCCTTTTATTCGCCCTTCCTCCAACTGGAGAATTAACGTTTAGACATTCTGTATCGTTACAAATCCCAGGGTTGCAGGGTTTATTGGTTACTTGTTCATCGTGATTAGCCTGGGTGATGCATTCTACCAGCTTACAAGGCTGTAGGTCTAATGTTCTGTTGCCCTCTGAAATAAAGGACAAGGTATTGTATTGGTCGAATGTGGCCCCTTGTTTGATGTAAAAAAAAAAAATCATCAAGAAGATAAAATTTGACAGTTTGTAATGAGGAACTTAAAATGATGCTTATTTTAGAACCAGAAGTCTCTGTCGAGAATGTGACTCTACTGGTCTGTACTTATAACAAAGGAAGAGAAAAGTAGTAGTTGGGAATTAAAACTTTAAAATAGCAATAGATGGAATAATGATCCTAAATTAAATCTCTTTTGTGACAAGATTACAATAAGACTGTAGGAGTTGTTTTAAATTAAATTTTAGAGAATTTTCAATTTTAGTTACCATGACAACGTCATCAAAATAAAAAAAAACAATTATGTATCTCAGTGTTGTCAACACTTGCATGCCACATTATATCATAATCAAACTAAAACTGTACGAGAAGTAGCATTTTGAAAGTATTTCTAAGAAAGGATGACTGCACTTAACGCTGTGTTTTGGGTCTTTTTCTCTGGCATGACACTGAAGCTCTCCGGTCTGTCAAATGTTATTTAGGAGAGCTACAGTTCCGCAGCTAACATTCTTGTAACCTCTATTCCATAACCAAGAACCAATACTCATTTTGTGGCAAGGGTGACAACAGGTTTTTATTGATAAACTGCTGCATCATTCCAAAAGACATCCCAACTAGGGCCAAAAGGGGTCTTATTCTACCTTTTCCTTTGTAAGAATATGAATACGATATACTTAGATTTTCATTAAACTGTAAAACATACAAAGATTTCTGAGTCAATAATCAATATGCTTTCGTTGCTTTGTAAAATTTCTGTGAAAAACTACACATATCGAAAATTTGATTGTTGATTTTATTCATCATTTAGATTAAGGACATACGCAACGTACCTCACTTACTGATAATTTTTCAAGATATTCTTCATTTAAACTTACAATATCATTACATGTTCTTAGACAAAAAATCAGCATGCGTTACCATGGGTTTTGAAAAGATATCAAATTGTGAAAAATTTTGCATTATTCAAAGAAAAATACACAAAAATGACGAATCATAAATTTCAGATTATTTTTCATCAAAAATAGTTTAAGAAGAGGTGTACAAATCCATATATTTAGAAATTAAAAGTATTGCACAAAGGTCCTTCATTTAGTGGAACTCTTCAACTCCAGGGAATAGCACCATATATACTTTAACCAAAGTGTTTTAATTTCCTGTTTTCGAAATATCCGCTCAGAATATATTTACGAGAGAGAGAGAGAGAGAGAGAGAGAGAGAGAGAGAGAGAGAAAGAGCGAGAGAGAGAGATGTTCATACTTATCTCAAAAATCGACGGAGCTGGATAATGTTCCAAACTTTTATCAACTATCTGAGTTTCCCCTGATCTTTGCTGATAGCTGTGTATATGTGTTATGTAGCCTGGGGTATTTTTTGAAGTTTTCGCAAACCATAGGATAATAATTCCTTGTGCAGCGATCAACAGAAAAATTACAGAACGAAATGTCTTTTTATCAAATTCCATGACGTCCGATAAAATGCACAAAAAAATCAAGCACAATCACCGACATTGTCACAGTGTCCATTCAATTTCGGACACAAAACCCACTTGGCTTGCGACGTCCTCTAGTGAGGGAATGTTGCGACGGTGTGGAAATAGAATGGACACAAAACCCACTTGGCTTGCGACGATGAATCGCCGAATTTTCACAATAACTATTACATGTGCTTGTTCAGTAACAATTCACAATTAAGACACTCTGCTCACACTAGAATTATTCTCAAACATCGCTAAATAAATATTTCTAAACTTAAAGTCATTCCTGGAAAATTCATTTTTCCCCTTTTAATTTAACATTTTTAATCATAAGATTAACAGTGTCACTTTAATTTTCCGCTTTTGAGGATGATTGTCGTATAAAACACTTACTTATTGTTATCTTAAAAGCCTCTCTTTCCTGGTAAAGCTAGCATGTGCAGGAGAGTGAACACACTTGTATACTTGTGTTTATAATGAAATAAAAAATATAAAGGGTCAATTGGTTTTGGTTTATACAAAATGCTTTTGGGATTTCCGTTCTGGAGATAAGGCTACATGCATATAGTAATTCGTTTCTCATCAACGGTTTGGTCCACAGGGGACGCTTACTCCTCCTGGGCACCTGGTCCCACCTCCAGAATTTCCAGGGGACCCTTGTATGCCCTCTTCACTTATTTGTATTGTTAATGGATTTTTTTTTAATCGAACACTGTTCGTTTTCATCGCCTTTCTCATTTTGTCATTGCACGTAGTGTGTGAAAATACGAGGATTCTTTTCGGGAGAGATCCGGACCTCCTCCCCTTGGAATTTGCAGACGACACGTTCCTCAAATATATGTTTTGTATCTCTTGGTATTATATTAAAAATTATTCATATTTGTCATTTTCTTTTGATTTCTACATTGTTTTCAAAATGTTTTTAATTATAATAACACCAAAAATTGTGTTATAGGCTATTTAGAAGGTAACCCGTAAGGGTAATATAAGATATATGACCTTGTGGTATCTTAATTGGCCGAATGCCTGGTAAGGTACTCTAATTTTTTGTGAGGAAACTTGTTTAAGTACCTAGACTTCAATTATAAATTCCTAGGAAAAATTATATATTTTTGAGGAACGTGTCATCTGACCTTAAGTGTATGTATTAAACCAACTAAAAGTGACCCCCCCCCCCTCCCCCGCACGAAAACACGGATCTGTACGTATTATAAGTTTGACTTTAGCATAACACTGACCCTAACAACGCAGTCGTTATGGGTTAGGTTAAAATTGACAACAGTTGAGACAGACAGACAGGGCAAAAACAATATACCCCGGGATCGGGCATATGGCTATTTTGCTCGGGATCGATATTCGGAATATTTTGTATGACAACAAACAGGCATGGCTGATAATTTAGAAGATGAGTGGTGGGAAACTGACAATCGTGTTCAAAATAACAGTAAGTTCTTAGATGTCGATTTCAGTTTTATTTTTCCCAGAGGTTACAAAGTCAAGTTTTAATAATCCATTAACAGATTTTCGAAAACTACATTGAACAAGCACTTCCCTGATACTGTGATATAGTCGGATGTGTGTCAGTATGTATGATTAAATTCATCAAGTTAAGATTTTCTTAATAACAGGGTAATTGATACTTGAATTCTACAGAAATAGAAGAAAACAGTTCAGACGAAGGAGAACAGAAGAATACAGGTGAAGTCTCCAACAAGAGATCAGCTGAGGAGGAGGGGGAAGACCAGGGGAATAGAACTAAAAAGAAACAAAAACGCAAAAGAAAGGTGTATTTTATGTATATTTTTTAGATTTAAAACTAGAATGACTCTTGTAATTTTAAACATGCCTCTCTGATATGTCTTTTGATGTATTTTTTTTTTTGGTACAATCCCAATTTATAGACCCAGTGAAGTTGTTTGGAGTCCACAACAAAAATCTATACTATTCCTTATTCTGTTATTACTGTATAAGGATATAACAAGTTATATGTACCTTTACAATGAAGTAAAGTCATACGTTCATGCAACTTTTATAAAACAAAGTTTTTCTATATAGTCATTTGTAAAATTTAGACAATTTTTAGTTCGTATTGCCCCTTGGGTATACATATTATATGTATGTACAATGTAACTTAAAAAAAAAACCTATTAGAATTTTTCATCTGTTAAAACATTCTATAAACTATAGACTCATGGAGAAACGCAAGATGGCGCTCGTGAGGTAAGAGGTGTTTTTTCGGTGAGCGCGAGTTTGGAGATATTTAGTGAATTAATGACTATTGTGACTAAGGATTTCCTAACAGTGTGCTAAAATAACTTCAGAGGAACCTTTACACTGTGAAAAAAATATTTGAAACGATCTATCTGTGTTTTTAAGAAAGGAGATTCTACACAGTCGTGAGTTCTGCTTACTACGATCTTTAAACACCTCGATTTGTTCATGCTGTTTTCCCTTGTGAAAGACTTTGTTTACGCTACCTCCAAATAAAAACAAAGACATGCCTGGTACTAAGAAAGGGTCAGAAAAAAGTAAATCTGGGACTGAAAGAAATGAAACGGTTGAAACAACAGATGACTTGACAATAGGGTCATTAAAAGCTGATTTACTTGAAATTAAAGAATGTTTGAAACAAACGGTCAAAACGTGCGATTTAGAATCAATGGTGACTAATATAGTGAAAGGACTTCTGAAGATTCATGAAGCAAATGCAGAAAAAAGAGAAACGCTGTTAAATAAAAGAATCGATAACCTGACAAAAGACGTCGATAGATTAACAATGGAAAACGAAACTCTAAAAGAAAAACTGTCCGAAACTAACAAAAACAATAGAGAACTGAAAAAGGAAATGGATCAGCTGAACGATCTTGCTACTTTTGCCACAGTGAAAGCTAACTATAATGAGCAATACAGCAGAAAAAACAATATTAAAATTTACGGAGTTCAGGAAACAGAAGATGAGGATATTATAGAGGTCGTGAAATCTGTATTGAAGGAGAAAGGGGATGTAGAGGTTAACGAATGTGACATTGTGGCATGTCACAGGATACCTGGATCCAAGGGTAAAGCACCAAAACCAATTCTCATGAAAATGACAAATAACGACAAAAAGGCCCATATAATGCGAAAGCGGTCAAAAGTGAAGGCGGCCCCCGGTAACATTCGACTAGGCGATGACGTTACCAAGGAGAACGGCGAGTTGATCGCGCGCCTGTTGGACTGTGAGGGTGTTTCATCGGCATGGTACTTCAATGGATCGGTTTACGCAGAGGTGAAGAAAAAACGAGTTCTTGATGACATTGCACACAAGGTAAATAAGTTCCGGGACTAAAATATCCGTCCTTACCTCAACTGATTTTAGTGCTGTAAAATGTATTTCCGGTGTCATATGCGTTGATTTTTGACATTCCAAACAGTGACTCACTATATCACGGTAGTCAACTTGTATTTTCGTGGAACTTTTTTTTACTGTTGAAAATCATTATCTGATTTATTTTACTGCTTTTCTCTTCTTTGCTCTATCTTCTTTTCTTTTCTGAATCTCTACATATTTAAATCATGAGTTCACCTCCATCGTTCCGTTGGGTATCTAACAGTTTTTGCACAATTATTATACCAAATGGTTAAAATTCTATCCGTAAATTGCCAAGGTTTAGGTGATATTGCAAAACGCAAGGATGTTTTTAATTATTTAAGATCGTTGAAATATAATATTTATTGCTTGCAAGATACACACTTCTCCTGTGATATAGAAAATGAAGTAAGAAATTTGTGGGGATACCAGTGCTTTTTTAGTTCATATTCTACAAAATCCAAGGGAGTCGCAATTCTTATTAATAATAACTTTGATTTTAAACCCATTGCAGAAAAGGGCGATGTTGATGGAATCTATATTTTACTCAGGGCCATGAAGTATTGTTATGCACTATTTATGGTCCTAATAATGACACATCACTCTTCTATGAAAGCATTCAAAATCACATTGATGATATGCATTGTAGTCATATTATCTGGTGTGGTGATTTTAATCTAGTTATAAACCCAGACTTAGATTATTACAATTATAAATCGATTAATAATCCAAAGGCAAGAGACAAGATTTTGGAAATAATAGAAAATTTTTCTTATATTGACCCTTTTCGACAATTACACGAAAATGTTCGTAGATACTCTTGGAGAAGAAAAACTCCATTGAAACAAAGTCGTTTAGATTTCTTTTTAATATCTGAGTCACTCTTGTCAGGGTTAGAAAAATGCACTATAGAATCTAGCTACAGATCAGATCACTCCATAATATCACTGTCTATTGCTTTTAATGATTTTAAGAAAGGAAGGGGTTTATGGAAGTTTAATAATTCTTTACTTTATGATGAAAATTATTTGGAATGCATTAAAAATGTTATCTTAGATGTTAAAAAACAGTATGCAACTCCAGTATACAATATGGATAACATAAATAATATCCTAGATTCAGATATTTCCTTCACTATAAATGATCAATTATTTCTTGAAACCCTGCTCTTTGAAATAAGGGGTAAAACTATATCCTATGCAACTTACATAAAAAAGAAAAAGGAAAATAAGGAGAAAGAATTGATAGAAAATATCAGGATATTGGAAGAAAATGTCTGTGAAAATAATATTGATGAGTTATTAAGTAATAAGCAAGAATTAGAAAATATTCGAAAACATAAGCTACAGGGTTCATATATCAGAAGTAGAGCAAAATGGGTAGAGGAAGGTGAAAAACCATCAAATTACTTTTGTTCATTAGAATCAAGAAACTTTACTTGTAAGATCATACCAAGATTAGAAGATGATAATGGAACTGCTATTTATGACCAAACAGAAATTTCAAGAGAAGCAAAATGTTTTTATGAACAGTTATATAAAAAAAGTACAGATACTATAAATACTGATATATTCAAAGAGTTAAGAAATAAAGAAATTCCTAAGCTTTCATACAAAGAATCAGAATCTATAGAAGGCGAAATTACTATGGAAGAAGCCTCTTCTACACTTTACAAAATGAAATCAAATAAATCCCCTGGCTCAGATGGTTTCTCTGCAGAATTCTTCAAGATGTTTTGGAAATATATTGGGTTTTTTGTAGTTAGATCTATTAATTATGGATATAAGCATAACAGTCTATCTATTACACAAAAACATGGTATCATTACTTTGTTACCAAAAGGTGATAAACCTAGACAATTCTTAAAGAATTGGCGACCTATTACTTTACTAAATACAGTATATAAAATTGCATCTGGATCCATTGCAAACAGAGTGAAATGCTATTTAGATAAAATAATTAATGAAGATCAAACAGGCTTTATCTCCAATAGATTTATAGGAGAAAACACCAGGTTAATTTATGATATAATGCATTACACTGAGGAAGAAAATATACCTGGATTATTACTACTTATTGACTTTGAAAAAGCTTTTGATACACTTTCATGGAACTTTATACAAGGCGCACTTAACTTTTTTAACTTTGGACCCTCAATCAAGAAGTGGGTATCCCTTTTTAATACAGATATTACATCTGCAATAAACCAAGGTGGTAACCTTTCTGATAGAATTAACATTCAGAGGGGCTGTAGGCAAGGCGATCCTTTGTCACCATATATATTCATTATATGTGCAGAAATTTTAGCAATCCAAATTAGATTAAATAAAAATATTAAAGGTATTTCTATAAACAATACTGAAAAAAAGATTTCTCAGTTAGCGGATGATACATCAATTATTCTTGATGGTAGTAAAACGTCACTCACAGAAACACTGCAAACACTTAAGACATTTTCAGAAATGTCGGGATTACATATTAATTATTCCAAAACTCACATAGTGTGGATAGGCTCAAAAAAGTTTAGTGACGAAATTTTGCTTCCAAATTACAAACTTAACTGGGGAACTACCAGATTTACTCTTCTTGGAATACATTTTGATGTAGAATTGGATAAAATACTACCATTAAATTATGAACCAAAACTGGTACATATTAAATCAATACTTAAACAATGGGAGAAAAGGTATTTAACTCCCATAGGGAAAATTACTGTTATTAAAACATTAGTTCTACCATTACTAAATCATATTTTAATGTCCATCCCAAATCCTTCTGAATTGTTCTGTAAGGAATTGGAAAAAATGTTCTTTTCATTTATATGGAATAATTCAACCCATAGGGTTAAGAAAGAAGTAATTGTAAAAAAAATATGAAGAGGGGGGTTTAAAAATGTTAAATCTGACATCTTTTATAGCCTCCATGAAATTATTTTGGATAAGACATCTAATTTTTACAAATAGAGGGTTGGAAAACCTCATTCCTAAATTTAATTTGAACAAATTTATAAGTTGTGGAATTGAATATACTTCAACTTTTTTAAAAACATTAAAAAATAAATTTTGGATAGATGTTTTTAAGTCCTGGATAATGTTACAAAATCTTGAGAAAAAGTTTGATGTTGCTGGTGACTCACCACTATTTTACAATCCACATTTGCATATTGGCGGAAAACCATTTTATAATAAACAAATGTTTGAGAGCAACATTAGACAAATTAATGATATCATTAATGAAGATGGTTCACTATTTTCTTATGAGCAGTTCTGTAACACCTATCCAAATATAAAGATTAATTTCTTAGAATTCAGTAGTATTAATCATGCTATAAAGGATTGGATGAAAAACTCCGGTCAGGAAAAAACAATAAAAAAGCTCACTAATCCCATGATTATGTCTAATATCTACACAGTAACGAAATGTAGAAAATCTAAATGCTATTATGAAATCCTTATTCAAAATTCTTCTGTCACAGCAGGTAAAACTTATTGGAGTGAGCTTTTAGAAGTTGGAACTCAGGAATGGAAAAAAATTCACATGATACCCTTTAGGGTAACAAAAGATTGTAAACTACAATGGTTCCAATATAGGATTTTAAACAAAATCCTAGCAACAAATTCATTTTTATTCAAAATAAAAAAAAATGACTGTAAATTATGCAGTTTTTGTCATACTGAGGATGAAACAATAGAACACCTTTTATGGGAATGTGATAATACACAATTTTTTCTTGAAGAATTTGTACATTTGTTTGAAGAAAAAACTGGTTTAATGATAAATGTTACTAAGAAATCTTTTATTTTAGGATTTATTGAGGAAAATACTGATATTCAAAATGTTATTATACTTTGGCTTAAATACTATATTTATACTGCCAGGTGCACAAAGAAACATATTAATTTACAAAATGCAATATCACAAATGAAATTTCATTATGAAACACAGAAAATTATCTCTTATAAGAATGGTAAAAAGGAAAAGTTTGATACCCAGTGGAACAGATGGAATCTGCTATTCTCTTAACTTGAATCTTTACACACTCTCTTTCTCTTCTCTCTCTCTCTCTGCTCTCCCCTCTATCTTTCTCTCTATTGTTTCTATCTTTCTTAAAATAAAAAACACATCATTCTGTTTCTTTTGAAATATGTATATAATGCTGTATGTTGTGTGAATAAAAAAAAAAAAAAAAAAAAAAAAAAAAAACTATAGACTCATGAAAAAAGAAAAGAGAGAGAACAAAGTGTAGTAGTCAAATGATTCAAAATCTTAAATTTTTCTTAACTTTACAGAAGATAACTACAGAATTAAAAGAGAAAGGAAAATCATCCAGAGCGAGTCCTACTGATGTCATTGACCTACTTTCTAAACACTTTGAGGGAAAACTTTCTCCCGTGGAGTTGGATGAAATAAAGCTTGATCCAGGTGATTTTTACCTAAAGTCAGAATATGTTATTTTCTCTCCTCAGCATCCCAGTGAAGATTGTAGAAGCAAATTAATTCCCATTCTTGACCAAATTTGCATAGATGATGCATCAATGAATGTACAATGTATTCTACCAGATGTATTATGCATACTTTTTGGACTTATATTATCCAAATGCATACTGCACATAACTAATGGATCTTATAAAACAATTATGATTTATCTGTTAACACCAGTCTATGTATTACATCATTGTAAGCTATATAATCTTTTATTATGTTCATTTAAGTCAAATGGTGCATCTAGATTTCATAATTTTGTACTTGATGGATACCTGCTGTAACATAATTGATCCTGATAGGGAAATAACTATGCCGAAATGTTGATTTGAATGCAGAAAATTAATTTGATTAAATATTTGGAGTTAACCAGTAATTTAATAGGTTTAAGAGGCATTCAGCATTCAAATGTTTATATCGATTCATTTTTTACAACACTCTGGCTATTTATAGATAGATACTTGTAAATAATAATGCTGTATTGCTGTTTGATTGTTGCAGACAGTGATTTTTATGTCAGCAGTGAATCTGACCACACCCCTAGCTCCTACCTGAGAACTATACTCCCTAAATGGAAGAAGCTGGTCAAGTCTAGTGGTGACCTCAAACCTGGCTCTCCATTGGTCCTCATTATAACATCCTCTGCCATCCGAGCAGTTCAGCTCAACAGGTACGCAACCTTCAGCTTATCTGGATCGTTAATCAACAGTTAATAGATAGCAAAAAGTAGAAGTACCTTTGATTCATCATTCAAATAACTTATTGAGAGTGAGAATGTATTTCTTTCAAAGTAATGAATGTGATTTCCCCCAATTTTAAAAAAAAATGTTTGTAGAAAACAGTAAAAGTGTACTGCCCATACTTATTCATAATTTTACTAATTTATGACTTATTTTTGAACTTAATACTGACTGGATGAAATAAGTTTTGAGAGTCAGTATACATACTGAATAATACATTTGTGGACTCTTATTTTAGGGATATAACAGATTTCAAAACAGAAGAGTGCAAATGTGCGAAACTGTTTGCAAAACACTTCAAAGTAAGAAATGTTTCAGACTATATATTTTTACAGGGTATAAAGTATTCATGGCATTTTAATATAGGAATAACTTCCATTCTGTAATATCCCCTACCAGCAATTTCTTTTTCCCTATCATATTCTAGTTCTCGCATATCTTTATGAAAAATACACTTCAAAGTGTATCTTGTACTTCACCACTAACTGAATAAGGACTAGAAGTATTAAAATACGGATTATTTTAGACATGAACACAATCAATTAATTCTTTTAATTTTATCTTGTTTGTTGTAGATAGAAGAACAACAGAAATATCTGTCTAAGAATGTTTGTCACATAGGACTGGGTACACCAAACAGAATCTGCAGCCTCATCAAAAATGGTATTAAACATAGTACTGTATTTCTCCTTAATGTCACTGTAATTACTTGTATTGAAGGAGGAACAATGTACAAATACTACTGGTAAACAAATTTTATCTATAAACTTAAGATGAAAATACAAAAATATTCTCTTTTTGGCAAAGGTTCACTCCACCTTGAGATGAAGTAAAATTTTTAGGGTCTTTGTTGTCTATCAGGTTCATTACATTTGGACAGTGTAAAGAGTGTAGTGTTAGACTGGAATTCTCTATGTCTGTGTTATATTTCAGGTTCATTACATTTGGACAGTGTAAAGAGTGTAGTATTAGACTGGAATTCTTTATGTCTGTTTTATATTTCAGGTTCGTTACACTTGGACAGTGTAAAGAGTGTAGTGTTGGACTGTAATTCTCTCTGTCTGTTTTATATTTCAGGTTCGTTACACTTGGACAGTGTAAAGAGTGTAGTGTTGGACTGGAATTCTCTATGTCTGTGTTATATTTCAGGTTCATTACACCTGGACAGTGTAAAGAGTGTAGTGTTGGACTGGAACTGGAGAGACAAGAAATTCAAACGAATGGCAGACATTATAGATCTCCGGATAGACTTAATGGTTTTACTGCAGACTTTTATCATTCCCCATATCCATGCCAACAAATGTAAAATAGGCATTCTCTGATTAAAGTCATTATTCGTTATTTGTGTCTTTTGCATAATCAGCTGTACGAGGAACACATCTAATGAAGGATCAAGGTCCCTGGCAGAAAAAAGTTTAAGTTCCGTGTGAGAACTATACCTCTCAGGTGGAGGCAAATTAAGCATGGTTGATACTTGACACCAAATATTGCTCTTACACAAAAATTGTGTCATGATCTGACATAACCTTATTTTGATAAAGTTCAAGGTCACTGTCAGATAAAGCATAAACTTTGCGTCCAGTGCATTTTCTAATGAATAAATATAGGAAGTTGAAGCTGTGAAGTAATTAGTCAGCTATAGATATATTTTTTTTAACTTGATTCATTTTTACAACTTCAAGGAGTGATAAAATCATTTTAGGACCATCATTTCTTTATAGAGAAACAGTGGATGTAAATATTTTATTCAAAGATTAATCAATACCAGAGAACATCTTTTTTTTAACCAAACACAGTTTCAAAAGTTCAATGTTGCATTTAGAAAATTGTAGATTGTCACTTGTAAAAATTGCAATAGGGTATAATTTTTGAGCTGGCTTACAGTACCTTTAGTTTAAAATATTCAAATTTATTTTTGCATTTTTTTCTCAAATATGTGTTATGCCAATAAGTATTGAATCAGTTCCTTAACAGGGTGTGTGAGAACTTTTAAATATGGAAGTCAAGTGGGATAACCGTGAATTGCTATTAATACACAGAATAAACAAGGCACTAATCCTTCTGACCAATCAGATAACAGCATTTAGACAAACCCATGAGAAAATATATAAAACACGTGGTTATTAAGTTTTTTGCTTAAAAGATTTTTTTAGAACAAACTTTTTGTAAACTTAAAGCCCATTTGGGAATAAAATAATATTTATGACAATTCTACCGTGAACAAACACGATAAAGCATAAACGTTTTAAGTGGGATACAAAATCTGTTACTAGGAGGTAGCAAAAACTTACGTTAAAAATTTGATATAAATACGGAAAATTTTCAGTTTTTATAGCCTGACATAAAAATTTTATCGAAAAGATATCAGTCTTTATTTTTTGAGTGTTTTTTTTTTAACAAAATGTTTTTTTTTAATAAAACGCATTCATGTATATTTACATTTTCTCCACTTTATAAGCCTTTCCCTACACCCATTTAAGTCTGCATAGCTTAGTATTCGGCGCTCATGAAACCCGTGTTAATTTAAAACTGAATGTGTATAGTCCATACGATAAACACTTGTGTGGGTTGATCTATACACATGGAATTTAAGCATTATCGATGAAAATCGGACGGATAATCAAAATTACATTTACTAACATATAATATATTCTGGTAAATGTTATAATTGAACTTGATAGGAACTTAATGGTGCGATCTTTACCTGCGTACTAAACGATTACATTTTATCATACATTATTTTTTCTTTACCGAAATAAAAATGTCAAGGTTGTTCACGGTAAAAATGTGGGGAATACTTTATTCTTCAAAAATTTTCATCTTACTTCTACAGATTTTTTGTTGAAAAAATCTTTTTGAGAAAAAAAACAAAAGCACGTGTTATCTTTTTTGTTCTTTTAAAATATGTTTTGGGGTGTATAAAAATACTGTTGTCTGACTGGTCAGAAAAATAATTACGTTTACTTGATGTCCATTTATAGCAACTTTCGGTTATCGTTCTTGACTTCCATATTTAGAAATCGTCCAGACCTGTTAAAGTACAGGAAGAAAAAAAGATTGGGTGAGTGGTCCTAAAACACAAAAGAAAAACAAATATATGTATATTGAAACTGCTTTATTTGCACCTAAATATAATATGTAAATCACATTAAAACTTTTTCAATGATTGAAAGTAAAAGTGATAGTACTTAACCCCCTCAAAAAAGGAGATAAAAACCTCTCAACAGACATGCACTGAAAACAATGATAAACAGTTGAGGAACAAAATATTCAGTTTATTCACTTCAGCCACAGTTTAACCTTGTCAATGTGGAGACCTGTCTCCCTGAGCAAATCATCTAAATAAAGTGTCTAGAATATGCTAAAATGCACCTCTTGTAATTGGTTTCTCTTACCCATAAATTTGGTCCAGACGATGAAGTGTCTAAATTATTTGTGTCGAATGTTGTATCTACAAATTCTTCACATGTAATTTTCATAAAAAATTTCAGATTCATACACATAAAATTCATAAGAAAGTGATAATTTTTAATCAGAATACAGTTTACAAAAACTTCATAATTTGTACAATAAGCTTAGCTGGAATCGACTAGCATGTTTGGGAACACATTTGAAGTGGAGAAGCCTGTGAACTACATGGCTCACTTGATATCTATGTATACATGTATACTGAAAAACAGAACATGCCCTGCATGACTGGTTGAATAAAATTTACTATTCTAGATTTATTTGGTTTTATTTAGCTTTTAGTTGTGTTCACTTATTTTGAACCTACACTTAATTTCTGTATTCGATGGTTAATAAAACAATACAGTGAGTAATGCAGCAAACTAAAACACATAAATGAAAGTGAAATGAATTATTTTACATGACCTACATTTGGCTTTAATAACACACATGGTATTTCATAAAACATAAAATTTCCTACTTTCCCCTGAAGGATTTCTGATCTTGATTGTTTTGATGCCATAATTGAAAGTAGTTTGCATTCTTGAAGAATTGCAAAGACCAAAATTTAACATTTTCTTGTTGAAATCTAATAAGATTAAGAAGAAAACAAAGTCAGAATCTTAATCAGACAAAGCAATTTCTAAGTAACACAAGATTAAAAAAAATCTTAGAATGAGAGGCATTTATCACAGTTTCTGTGGGAAACAAATTCAATAACCATTGAATCAGTAAAAATATACAATACAAATGTAAAAGTACAAAGTAAATCAGACAGTTACAACCACAACACACCTTCACAGAAGGCTTTTTCTTCCTTCTCTGTTATGATAATAAATACAATCTGTCTATCATTGGTTTATAAATCAAAGATCCTCTACAATCATACTGAGATCACATATTTTAAATAATTAAAACCTCTATAATTTAAGTAAATCCTCAAGTGAGAAGTGGCTTGGGTTTTCCTGGATAAAATCCATCTGTATTGCCAACATCAGAGTTTTTGAACTTTGTATATCTGTAGTCAATTGGCATGCCTAGAGAAAGAGAAAGTGTTCATTTAATAAATTTGTTTTTCTTGTGACTAATCTTATTGAAATAACATAGCAAAGATCCTCTTAAAATTCTTAAATCTTATCATGTTCATGAGATCAAATTTTAATATCTCACCCTATGAATTTAGTTTCGTCAACTGATTTGACAGTGATAAAAATATAATTTGTACTGCATAGAGCACCCCCCTTTATGGTCCCATAATTGGAGATATATAGTTTTTGCCCTGTCTGTCCATCTGTTTGTCAGCAAAAAATTTACCCTTGCTGATAACTTTTTAATGGGCGGGGCTATGACTTTCATATTTCATAGGTGCATTCCTTGTAACAAGACCTTTCTTTGGGTACTACTAAAATTGACCTCTTGAACTTGGATTTGACCCTTTTACCAAAACAAAAAAATCCAAACTTTAACTTTGGCCATATCTTTTGAATATTTGGTGCCAGGACTTAAATGTGTATTACTTGTGACAAGACCTTTCAATGGGTGTAAATATTTTTTACCTTTTGACCTTGACCTTACACTGTGACCTTCTTTTAAAAAGACTTTAACTTTGGCTTAACACTGTGACCTTTCTTTTTCCATTAAAGACTTAAACTTTTTCAAGCCATAACTTTGGGCATCAATGTTTCACAAACAAATTTTGTTAACTGCAATATACTCTATGGTTGGTACAGCTATAGCGTTGTAATGACTGATAATTCTCCCCCAGTAAGTGTTAGGGCTGTATCTATATATCGATATATCGATACGTATCGATATTCAAGTGAAAATCACCTTCCTTTGGATACATTTTTTCTTCAAATTCTGTTTAAAAGATGGGAATTTCAATCACCAAAGATTATATTTTACTTTTTTGAATTAAAACCTTCAATAATTATATAATTTCTAAGGAAAGAAAACAGTTTTTATAATCATTACAAAATACAAAGAGAAATTTTTTTGAACATGTTGATTTTACTGTCATCAAAAGTTTTAATTGAAGTGTTATTTTTAAAGTCAATGAGACAAGAACTTTAAAATGGGTAATAAAACACTTAATTGTTATGAAATGTATGCATTAAAATGATTTAGAAGCCTTTTCTGATGCTATATATATATCGCATATCGCTTTAAAAAATATTGTATCGTATCATATCGAAATTTTTGGCTCAATACACAGCCCTAGTAAGTGTTCACATGTTTATATTACCTGCTATATACTCTATGGTTGGTACAGCTATATATTACCTGCTATATACTCTATGGTTGGTACAGCTATATATTACCTGCTATATACTCTATTGTTGATACAGCTATATATTACCTGCTATATACTCTATGGTTGGTACAGCTATATATTACCTGCTATATACTCTATGGTTGGTACAGCTATATATTACCTGCTATATACTCTATGGTTGGTACAGCTTTATATTACCTGCTATAAACTCTATGGTTGGTACAGCTTTGTATATATTACCTGCTATATTATACAATTATTGCTGTTTTTTTTAGGTCAATACAATGATTTAGCCATCTGAGGAGTACATATTCACCAAGCCCGAAGGTCGAAGACCTAAAAAACTGCAATAATTGTTTTATTATATGATTCACTGATAAAATGATACTGCTCATTACTTGTTAACTTGCATTTGATTAAGTCCTAGCCAATTACAAGAGAGAAACAGAATTAAAATGTGAATAAACCTTACCAGACGTATCAATTTGAAATGGGTTTTTTAAATCAATTTTAGTTGCCATGAAAAAAATAATATAATGTCAGTCTTTTTATAGGATAGATTTTGAAAGGAAGGAGTATTATCAGGGAAAACTGACTGCCAAAAAGTAAAAAAAAAACCATGTTGTTCAGTAAAAGTGTTAGAGGGGGTCCCTGCTTCCCCTCTTACCACCCTAACCCTAAAATATATATTCGCTTAACATGTTTTTTCACATGAAAAAAAAAACATCACAGTCGTTTAAATAGCTTTCTAAAACAAATTGTATCAATTTAGAATTTCCCAATCTATTTCTAGATCAATGTAGAGGAAATAAATCCTTGTATTGACCCAGAACATCACGTGCAAGTCAATACAACACAGTATTTTTCTAACATAGTTGGATCTCAGCCAATCAGAGAGATGGAAATTATTCAATCATATAATAAACTCTATGGTTGGTACAGCTATATATTACCTGATATATACTTTATGGTTGGTACAGCTATATATTACCAGCTATGTACTCTATGGTTGGTACAGCTTTATATTACCTGCTATATACTCTTTGGTTGGTACAGCTATATATTACCTGCTATATACTCTATGGTTGGTACAGCTATATATTACCTGCTATATACTCTTAAGTTGGTACAGCTATATATTACCTGCTATATACTCTATGGTTGGTACAGCTTTAAATTACCTGCTATATACTCTATGGTTGGTACATCTATATGTTACTTGCTATATACTCTATGGTTGGTACAGCTATATATTACCTGCTATATACTCTATTGTTGATACAGCTATATATTACCTGCTATATACTCTATGGTTGGTACAGCTATATATTTTATATACTCTATGGTTGGTACAGCTATATATTACCTGCTATATACTCTATTGTTGATGCTATATATTACCTGCTATATACTCTATGGTTGGTACAGCTATATATTACCTGCTATATACTCTATGGTTGGTACAGCTATATATTACCTGCTATATACTCTATGGTTGGTACAGCTATATATTACCTGCTATATACTCTATTGTTGATACAGCTATATATTACCTGCTATATACTCTATGGTTGGTCCAGCTATATATTACCTGCTATATACTCTATGGTTGGTACAGCTATATATTACCTGCTATATACTCTATGGTTGGTACAGCTATATATTATTTGCTATATACTCTGTGGTTGGTACAGCTTTATATTACCTGCTATATACTCTTTAGTTGGTACATCTATATGTTACTTGCTATATACTCTATGGTTGGTATATACTCTATGGTTGGTACAGCTATATACCGTATAACGGGTATATTTTATATGCTGCTAATTTTTACAAGTTTTATAAATCCGTAAAATTTAAATGCGGAAAATTTAACAGAAATAAAAAGCGCCTTGCCTGAATTTTGAACATCTTATTATGAGAGTATTTCAATGCTATCATTGCCAATTAGCGAAGTACCTGGAGGCTATAGAATTAGTACTGACACTCGTTGGTATTTTGGAGAAATTTTTAATTGATTATCGATTAGAATCACACAAGTAAATCTTAATTAATGCACAAATTATACAAACACCGTCAATTACCTAGTTCTTCTTACAGAACGCACAATTTCTGATAATGGCTTAGTTATTACAGACTGAAGTCTTAAAATTATATCTGTTTTTCAAAACTTTGTCCCTGGGTTTCTTCTTTTTATTTGCCTTCAGTAAAAACTTCAACATTTTAATGCATCGTAATCCATGTCCCCTGTAATTCTGTCAACTTAATCATGATGGCTTGAGTTGTATCTCTTTGTTTTCATGAAAAATGAAGACGGACACGTGGCGTGCAACAATAATGATGCGTGAACATGTGTATTAGTTGACAAAGGAATAAATTCAGGGCATGCGATATACTCGCATAAAGGTATTTCAATGAATAAACATATCACTTAAGGAATTGACACTCGTTATCACGGAATCAATTTCGTTTTTATTTTACATCGGATTGTCCAGACACATATTTAAAACAGGTATATGTATTAATGCATTCGTAACCCTAAAACATTGATCTGGAATTTCACTTCTGATGATTTTAATTTTTACAGACATGCTAAATTCGTAAAAATTTTGCGCATAAAAAATAAAATCACCCTATTTCAACAGAAATTCGTAAAAATTTACAGCAGTAAAAATTACCCGTTCTATGGTATTACCTGCTATTTACTTTATGGTTGGTACCTATATATTACCTGCTATATACTCTATGGTTGGTACAGCTATATATTACCTGCTATATACTCTATGGTTGGTACAGCTATATATTACCTGCTATATACTCTATGGCTAGTACAGCTATATATTACCTGCAATATACTCTATGGTTGGTACAGCTATAGCATTGTAATGACTGACAATTCGCCCCCAGTAAGTGTTCATGTGTTTATCATGTTTCAGATCCTCCTCTTCGTGGTAGAAGAATGACCCCCAGCAGTCAGACAGAATATACCGCTCCTCTTCAGGATCTATCTCCAAGTTCACCTTAACATGAAACAAATTTTGTATGGTTATTTGTTCAAGTTTTTAAAATTATTATACTAACATTAATGAATCTTGAATGGGGTTAAATTCTGACTTTATGATATAACATTAAGATTTATAACATTAACCAAGATAATATAAATCTACACATCATAAAGCTTATTATAAACCAATACACCTCAACTTGCTTCAACTATGTTTGCTAACTTGATAAAAACCCATCACAATACTTGAATAGGCCTTTTTATACATGGTCTGAGACACCAAACATCAGCTGAATGGGTGAAACACCACTTTTGCATCCTTCTAAGATGTACCTGGTGTTTAGGAACTTTGCGCTTTGGTTCTAGGACGTCTTTTAAATCCAGATGGTAGCCCTCTGCTTCCATTTCCTCCAGTACCAATACTACGTCCCAGTTACCAAATGTCTTAGCTGGAAAACTGTCTGAGCATAGACTGTCCCCAAAGTACACCACCTACAAAGAATCCAGCCTTAAGTACTATAACAGAACATCACTAGACATGGAATACTGGGGAAGCATTTTCTACACTTATCTGTCGAATATTTAAAGTTTACAAACCTTTGGGTCTGGTTTCCCTGTCTGTTTGGACAGGAATTTCATCAAATCTGTCCAGTTTCCATTAGAGTAAGTTTTGAATGGTTCCAGTTCCTCAACATTACCCTTGTTTTCTCCATTTTCTAGGAAGAGTAATAAATCAACACACATTACAGGCAATCTCTAATATCATGAAAATCCATTAAGAAAAGTAAATTCTCTTGCTCAATAATTACTGTGAAATTTGTCTTATCTGGACACCATTGCTTCTAAAGACATTGGCCAGATAAGTTAACATTCCTGAATGAACAACATTTAAACACCCAATTTTATGTTAACCTCTACCTGATTCAATAATAGTTTACCGCCTGTTCATTAAAAAAACAATAGCTTCTGGTTTGATTGACATCAGCTACCTGTGCTTCATGATAATCTGAGTTTGCAGGTTTTGAAAACAATTACCTGTTTTCATTTTCATGTACCCGCAAGTATACACGCTATAATATGTTTGAATTTTATTTCAAAAAATAATTGAAAGTAGATTATTTAAACATTGACATAATAAAGTATTTCTTTTCTATCTTCACTGCTGTTTGTTACTTGTAAGTGCTATATCGTCCACGTTTATCTGTATAATTTTCGTCCACAGAAACCGGCTCTATTTGCCGTAATTCTTCCGACGAATTAAATTATATTTTTAAGAAATGGGATATAAGAAAAATATTCAGCATAATAAACGGCATAGCATAGTTTTTAAAAGATTTTTATTTTGTATTATGGCTACAATCCGCAAGGTGTTGTACAGAAATTGATGTCAGAATTAATGCTCGAATTTCCTCTAGCGTCTGTATATATATATATACGTAATGAAAATGTGAAGATAATTAATAGTGATCGATTCCGAAAAGAAATTTTTCTAACAATAAAATTTTGTTAACACACGAAGAATAAAAAATATGGAATATTTTGGACAACATTGTTGGCCAAAAAAAAGAGACGTTTCGATATATTAAACGAATAGGTGGATCAATAATTTTTTATTTCAATAGTCAGACTTTTTTAATCAAGTGATTTCTTTTATTGAAGATTAAAAAAGATAATATTATTGATATGTATTTTTACTGGTTAATTTTTCTTTTATGTAATTTTGAAAAACGATATACTTATATCTTATTATTTTTTTTTCCTTCAAAATTACCATGATTTCGATGAATGTGTTTAGTTTACAAATAAATTCCATATTAAAATAATTATTTTAAAATTTACTCAAAACCAGACACAAAACATAAATAAATTACCAAACACAGATTCCTGTGTAATGCTACGTATACACAGATTTTTGACATCTTGGGTATGGGTCTCCAGGTAAATAACACCACTGTTACTTTGACCACTCCCCCTCCTCAGGTAACCGTACGGTAAAAAAATTGGGTCTTTAAAACACTGAATTTACAGCAAGGGACTTAAAGTTTACACTGTATTAAATAGACAAGATTTTGGATTACACAACATCTGGAATAGACAAGTTTCTCTGTATATCTAATGAACACATTTTTTTTCTTACCAATTAACTTGAATTTATTATTTTCTGTGAAGAATCCTGGTTTTTTGGCATCAGTGAGGTAAACATCAAAATAGTTTCTCCAGTCTGACCTATAAATAGAAATTTTGTATATCTAATAAATATATGTCTGTTTAAGGACTGTGCTTTACTAGAGATTTTACTGAGCTTGAGAGAATTAAGCCTGTGATGCTTTGAAGAAAAAAGTTTCTTTGGAAAATTTATAGCTTTTCTTCAGATACCAGATCGATTTTCAACCATACAGATTTTTAAAACATTAACGTTTAAAATGTATCTACCTTACAGACAAACATGCTAACTTTTCATCAAAGATTTTTAAAACTTTTCTTACATAAAATAAAATAAAATAAAGTCACCTACCCTAGCACTGTTTCAATGACCATTCCAGCAAAATCTATGGCTGATGATGTCATGAGAAAGACAACTCGTTTATCTCCCTTTAATTCTTTTAACCACTCCTTGACACCATTACTACTTGGCTGTAGGTACTTCTCAGGATTTTTTTTTACACTAGGGAAGAACCATCCTGCATTTTCTACATGATACAAAGAGAGAGAGTGTATTCATGGTGGTGGTGATATCTGTTTTCATCTGCATTGTTTTCTTTCTAAATTATTGAATTATCTGCTAAATGTGGATTTGCATTAACACACACTGCATTTCAATTCAAAATTTATCTTATTTCAAACATGTATATGCCAGTCAGTCAACTGCTTTCATGTGATGCACCTCTCCAATTTAATTAATTTAACCAAATACAAATTTAGAGTCGCAACAAACTTATTTGAAATTCAAATTTTTATGTTTAATTAATGGCAAATAAGTGAGTTTGAATGATACATAATTTTAAATTTATCCTTTACAGTAATATATTCTTTTAATATGTGACATAGGTATGAAGAGTTAAGTTTCTAAAAGTTTTATTTTTTAAGAAAGTATTGCTATAATTGTAAATTGTGAGAAGATACGAGAGAAAATTTATTACTTGCGAATTGGGTGGGAATATAGTTTTCTCCAAAAGCACCATAAATATCTTTCCAGAAGTCATATTTTTCACATGGTCCGCCATTCTATTAAGAAAAGAAAGTTATCTTTATCAAATTTCAAGTTCTTTGATTGAAGCATGCAGTAGATCACCATTGTCAAATTGAATATTCCAAAAAGTGTACTGAACAAAGACATTTGAAAGTAAAATCAAATGTAATTTAAAAGATCTTCATGAAGGACAAATATATTAAAACTAGATAGTTTTTGCAAAAATCAAAGGACAAACAATTTTGGTCATTATGAAGATAATTCATTTTACCTGATAAGTTCATTATACATTTTGAAATTAAAGGAAATAAAGATTCATTATGAATTTAAGTACCCTGGTAGTCTGTTTGTCATAAGCATGTTTTAACCTAAATTTAAAATTAGCATCATGTACAACTATAAATAAATTTTTCAGATAAATAATTACAGTAATATGTTACTTAAAAGTCACCTCTTTATCCAAAAAATCCACAATATGAGCACAACACACGAGGGCTGGGATGTCAAAGTAATTCTCAAAGAAACGGAATTTCATGTCCTCTACAAGAAAAAAAAATTATTTTAATTTATAATCTCTCTAGCAAAGAAAAAATAGTTTAAAAATAAACACTTTCCAAAAACATACCTATTCCTTACTTAATGCAATGACTCTTGACATGACCCATGTGTACTTACTGCCATGACTCCTGACCTGACCTCTGTGTACTACTGCCATGACTCTTGATATGACCTATGTGTACTTACTGCCATGACTCCTGACATGATGATTCCTGACATGACCTGTGTGTACTTACTGCCAAGACTTGACATGACCCATGTGCACTAACTGCAATGACTCTTGACATTATCTTGTGTTTACTTCATGCAATGACTCTTGACATGACCCATGTGTACTTACTGCCATGACTCCTGACATGACTTGTATGTACTTACTGCCATGACTCCTGACATGACTTATGTGAACTTACTGTCATGACTCCTGACATGACCAATGTGCACTTACTGCCATGACTCTTGACATGACCTAAGTGTACTTACTGCCATGACTCCTGACATGACTTGTGTGTACTTACTGCCATGACTCTTGACATGACCTATGTGTACTTACTGCCATGACTCTTGACATGACCCATGTGTACTTACTGCCATGACTCCTGACATGACCTATGTGTACTTACTGCCATGACTCTTGACATGACCTGTGTGTACTTACTGCCATGACTCTTGACATGACCTGTGTGTACTTACTGCCATGACTCTTGACCTGACCTCTGTGTACTACTGCCATGACTCTTGATATGACCTATGTGTACTTACTGCCATGACTCTTGACATGACTTATGTGTACTTACTGCCATGACTCCTGACCTGACCCTTGTGTACTACTGCCATGACTCTTGATATGACCTATGTGTACTTACTGCCATGACTCTTGACATGACTTATGTGTACTTACTACCATGACGCTTGACATAACCTCTGTGTACTTACTGCCATGACTTTTGACATGATGTGTATGGCCATGACTCTTGACAACCATGTGTACCAGTGTAAGTCTTGACCATGACCAGATAACTTCTGCCATGACTTTTGACATGACATGTTTACTTACTGCCATGACTACACCTTAGAAAAATGAAAAATGACTCTTGACATGACCTATGTGTATTACTGCCAGATTACATGACATATTGTACCAACTTGTATTTTACAAGGTATTGTATTTAACAGATTTATATTTGAAGATATATAGAGATTTATGGCCTCCTGAAAGTTAAGTGTAATTTTACTTGAAAAACAGATAACATCTTCTCTTTTTCCATCATTTTAGTTCCATGACTACACCTTAAAAAATGGAAAACGACACCTTGAAGTATGACAGATTATGACAAATTGATACCAATTTGTATTTTACAAGGTATTTATTTAAAGATTTATATTTGAAGAAAGATAAAGAGATAGAGGATATTAAAAAATAAGTTAATTTTACTTGAAAAATTATATATCCTATCTTTTGTGGTGAACCCTGATATGTAGATATTCAACTCAATTAAATTGATTGACATCACCATGCTACCATACAGTCAAGATAACAAATGAAATGATGAACAGAAAACTGAATGAAAACATAATGGCTAATGCAAGCAAGATAAATTCACACAATTCTATATAGTCCTTGCATTTATATTTAGCATTTATATCTAGCTACACATGAACATAATGGTTTAACTTTTGCAGCATTAAAAGCATTTAAATAAATGGAACAGTACCATAGTATAGTTTACCACTAAAAATATCAAAATTATGTTAAAATCTAAGTTTGTCATACAGAGGACAGTGCAAAGTACAAAATGTGTTCATTTTTAACAAATAATTTAAAAAGTATAATTTTTTTTGCTACAATAGTTGATTTACAATATCTGCCCATACAAAAAAAAATGTTGATTCTTTATTTCATTAGCTGTGCCCAACTTCATTTTCAAAGGAAATGTTAACTAAACTGCAAATTATACTCTGTAAATTAAAGTTGCTTACTAGACTAGTTGTTTTACAATAGTTAATAGGGATTATATCTCCTAACTTACTTGAGGATTTTCCCATCATGTCCCAGTTTGAGAATGTTGCCTTTTTCTGAATCAAGAAATAAACCTTTGCACCTGTTAAATAAAATGATGTCATGTATCTCCAAAATTATAAAATGTAAATTATAAAAATCTTAATTTTATGATATGCTTCTTTTTTTATCTACCATTTACTGATTTACTATATTACATTAAGTAAAACTGATACAAAATTTAATAATGTTTACATTTTACATTTTTTTGACCAAAAACAAAAGCAGAAAGTCTTCAAAACACTCATATAACACTTTTAACTTTAACATGAAAACCGAGTGGTTAAGTCCATGCGAGTCCTAATTTCTATCTTCTATATTTCAAAATTAACACATTTAAGTCTTAGCGAAAAATAAAATTACTTACACAAAATCCTTGTGAACATCGAGTTTGTCCTTTATTTTCGGGTCATATCCCCGCTTAATGAGACTTTCACAGAGAGAGTCATAGGCAAGCTACAAATAAAGTTAACAGCAAAAATGTAATAACAAATCACTTAGATATTACCTCAATAGACGGTAACTGACGTACTGCTCTTGCTGCTCTTTTGCAGGGCAAAATGATAAAGTTTGGTGAAATGTGACATTAAAGTAATTGTTTTATATATGTCATTTAATTATCTGTCAACAAAAACTTTGCGAAACATTATTGTTTTGCCCTGCAAAAGTGTAGTACCGCAGTTACCATGAAGGGGCTAATACTAGATAGAATGTTCTATCATTTAAATAATAAATGTCTTACAGACCTGTATTTCAGAAATAAACTGATTATCCGTATACAATGCACTGTTAATGCTTAGTGTAACTTAGATTCTTATGTTACTACAGATTGCAGTTAAGAGTGAAGTTTTACATTACGTCACAATCTAGTTTGACAGCTGTGCTCAAGGTAAATAGTAAACACCTCCTAACCGCAAGCTTTAAGACTGGAACTTTCTTCTAATCGCTGATTGGTTGCTTGTACAACAGACTATTTCTGTGACAATGTTGATAATATGAGCTGACCAATCACATATGAATTGTTTATGCTGGATGCGTCTGTCGAAAAAGATCGTGACGTTATGCAAAACTTCGCACTGAACTGAAATTAATAGTAATATATCTAGGATCTTCACTTGACACAGGTTTGAACGTTATAAACTTTCAAGTTCAATTCTTGATGTCTTTTTTCTTTTCTCTCTAAATTTTTATGCCTCTGCGAATTAAACCAATTATTGACCACATGACACCTGGGCCTGGAAGTCATACTACATGCAGACATGTATATTTTGCTTCTTATCCAATTTTAAAATTAATTTGTCATTTTGCTGATTTAGAAAATCTTACTCACTTGGCCATGATTTAAGTCGTATATAAATAAGATAATTCAGGAGGAAAAAAAAACAATCCACATTGAATAAACACTTTATACTTCAAGTACTAGCTTGTATACAGGGGCGGATCCAGGAATTGAAGTTAGGGGGGGCGCAAGATATAGGCAGGGGGTCTGGGGGCCGCCTTGAGGCCCCCAGTGGGTCCAGGGCAAAGCCCTGGTGGGGACCCAGAGGGCGAAGCCCCCGGAACCTCATGGATTCTAGAGGTTTTGTAGGGTAAAAATGAGGTCTACCGAGTAGACATTTTAAACATTTTCTCAACAAAGCTATGATTTATGCTAACTTTGACAATTTTAGGGGGGGCGCGCCGGGTGCGCCCCCCTTAAATCCGCCACTGGTATAGAACTGTGACCGAAAATGAAAGTAGACAGTGCATGATACCGATAACTTTATAAATTATTTCTTTGCTCAACAAAAAACAATTTTCTATTTAGTCTTACATTCATTAATTCTACCAGTTTGTATTTCGCCAGTGTATGATCCAGATCAAATCCAACTGCATCATAGTCGGCCAAACAAAATTTGTCCCCCACGTCTGTCATCGCACCTGTTAGAAGAAAGCGAGAATGTCGAGCCCGATACACTCTGTTCTTGCACACCATCGATCGACGAATGAGACCCCGGACTATGCTCGATAACATAGTCGGTCCAAAACAAACATCAGGCTCATCGTCTGACTTGCGATGTGAAAAATGACATATGCGAAGAGAATATCGAACCCGACTGACATTTTCATGTAAATATTTCCTCCTCCCCCCATCTCTCTCTCTCTCTCTCTCTCTCTCTCTCTCTCTCTCTCAGACCTGGGATATATAAAGTGTAAGGATTGGAAGAGTTTCCCCCAAATATATATAGCTGCTGGGATCATCACACATCTGGGATGTTGTCTGACGGGTATATTAATCTACACTAAAAGACATTTCGAATTAGAAAAAGCCTTTATTTTCAAACAGTTTTTAAATAAAGCTAAGAAAAATTGCATGTGAATTTAGAATAAGTTTACCAAGTCTAAAAATTGAAAAAAAAAAAAAAAAAAAAGGCTAAGTTTAACACACAGAGGGACCGAAACCCCTTGAAATACGAGATGAAAGCGGAAATTGGTGTGAAGAATGTGTGCGGAAATATAGATAAGCATCATTCACTGATTGAATTCTCTCCCTTATTTAAAAATGTCAGCCATACTTTTTAATAAGTTTTTTTATTATTTTTGAGGACGTTGTAAAATTTAAAATGTTGCAATATGTAACCTAAAAAGTATAAAATAAAAGTTAAAGAGAAAAAAATATTGTAAATATTTATACATCAGTACAAATATAACAAAATCATTGCAGTACAGGTGCGTATATCAAATAATCAATAATTAAAGTCATTTTGCCTACGTATTACAGTTTTCCGACATCTATTAAACTTTGTTCTTTTTATTTCAAGTTTATCTTTACATTCTTCTTTAAATTGTTTGTAAACCATATATATACTTTAAGAAAGCTAGATTCCGTGTATCTTAACCACATCCCTCCTGGCCTCATAAACAGCACATCAATTGGTGTCCACCGCATTCACTGAAAGTGACGGGTACATGTATCGGTCTGTCTGTCCGTCCGTCAGTCTGTCTTTCTGTCTAGCCGTCACACTTTCGTTTCCGCGCGAGATCTCGAGAAGCCTTTGAGATATTGCAATAAAACTTTACATAACTCCTTTGGCCTAAGGAAGACCCTGATTGATAATGCGAACAAAAGTTAAGGTCATAATTATAAGTTCATACATTCCGTGTGTGTGTAAAATTTCATCTTTGAGCGATAGCTCAAGTAATTTTATATCAGAACTCCCTATGGCTCCGCCCTTTCTTTAGTATCCCGTCCCCAACCCACTCTCTTCTTTTTTCCCTCATGTGATGTCATAGGTTTTTGGAATTTTTTTTTAAAATAATTTATATTCATACCCATTAGAAAACATATCTTAGGGTGAATGCTTTTCAATAGGTGTAATGCAAAGAATTTAAGTAAAGTTAAAGTATTATTTTAAAAAAGGATATTTTTTTATATTATCAGGTTTTCACTATTTACATTTTTAATGCTGACATTCACTCCTGTTTAATGTCGTCTTACATGTTAATAAAAGGTAACCTTGACATTTTTTGCTATCTTTAGTTATTTTAAACTATATTCAGTTAAAATAAATGCAGTTTTTCTACTGACTTTGAACCAATAAAATTGTAAAGATGGAAATACCTTAAGCGGGAAACACATAATCTTTAAAACCTAGCTTTCTACATTATATATGCTGTTTACCAGGACACCTATGCTTATATTTAGATACAACATACAATGTACAGTGTATATTGATACGATTGTGAAAGTAGATCATCCTCATGTGAGGGAATCAGGCTTATCTATATAATAATTCATGTATCACTCTATTTCCCTCCCCTAAAAATATCCAAACAGAAAAAAATGTGTTAATGGTTCTTTATTCAATGAAAACGAGAATTCGATTCTGTTGGTTAATTTAGGAATGCAGGAACATGGACAATTCCAGGTTCTTAATTTAGATTGGTTTCTGATTGGTTTATCGATTTGGAAGTTTAGACCACCATTTTCAAAAAGCCTAGATATACTTCTGTACAGTGATATAAATGATACAAACTTTCGTTTTAAATTCTGAATAATATTACGTAATAATAAACTGATATATAACAAACAAGTATTATATTTCCTTAAAAAGGACAAATTATAAAAAGACGGTTGCCGTTCACTCATCTGAAAAATAATATTTAACTTGTCTACAAGAAAAGATATATTGGAGAATATGTGAAGCAAAATGATTGGAACCGTAAATATTCTACAACAAAATATTTGTTTTTCTTTTGCACTTCAAACTTTTTATAGAAAATCCTTCAACGCCGAGAATATTCCTCAGTTTATCTGTTTTCTAACATGTGGGATTTTTTCGTCCTTTTTCGGCGATAAAACCCTTCTTCATAGTTCATTGAGTTTTTTAGCTACTATCCTATTTGCGTGGATATGGAAACACAACCTAAAATTTTACAACTCGGTCTTTTGCATTGTTTTCCTTTTGGAATATAGAAAACAGCTGCCATGGCCATGGTTAGAGTTCATCAACTCTCCAGAACGTGCCATTGTGTGTCAACTTGTCGTGTCTTTGACGCAGTTCATCCGGAAACCCTTGTCGCTCAAGAATAAGATGCGAGAAATCCGGGTGTTTATGGGTCCTTGGTATGTTCTCTACAGTATACGATCCTTCATCTTAGCCCACCACGCCTTTGGATCCACCTATCCACGGATTGCCGATTTAACGCTTGCCAACGCTGCCGTTGCTTGTGTTGGAGGTATTCTGTTTCGTCCAGATAACGGGTTTTTGTTGAAGCTTTTTGGATGGCAAACAGATCTACAATATCGCCGATTTCTCCACCGAAACTGCATGATCATCTCCTTTTTAACCGCTTTGATTGCACTGGTAGGGGCCTGTGCATTAAATTTTATGTCACATGACGTTAAACTTTTGTGAATACTTAATTTGCGATCAAAAATTGTAAACATTCCGTATTTTATTTATTTTTCACAATCACAAAAAATAAACCAAACAAGGACAAAGTTTTTCTATATCAAAAATTTTGAATTGTATTTGAAATTTATTTGAAGTTTTTATTAATATTTATAAATTATATATATTGTTAATTTTTCTATGTACATGTAATGTATAATTTTCATTATATTTCTTATTTTTATATCATTATACCTCAGTCATCAGTTGATCTGAAAAAAAAAATCTAAGGCTTGTTCAACTTGTTTCGTT